ATAACAACCTCAGTGAAAGGCACCTTTGTCAGAGAATTGAGACATCCATTCAGATCTGTAAATGCAAATTTTATCACTCAAAAGTTATGGAAACTTTTTTTTTCCCCTAAGCATATATTGGCATCAATTTTGCTATCGTCCATGGTAAGCTGATCTCCTGTTGAAGCATTTTTACCTTCTGTTGGCAATATTTCCCATGTTAACACTGAATACAGTTGCACAAATTCTGTATCACAGGGAAGCAATAGCACACCATATAAATCTAAATCCCTTATCCTATTTAAAACTGAAACTTACAGTGATTTCAAAATATATGTAACGCTTTAGTCCAGAGTTTTGTGAGATCATTTAAAGCCTGCTACAAAGGATAATTTAACAAATACTTTAAAGAAGTCACTACTAACTTAGTATCAACATATTCACATTAGAGTTTCAGAACCCTGTGATATAATTCTCAATCTATTTATTTTTCTTGGAAGGGAAATTGAATATTTGTTTTCTAGCATATTATACTCTGCTTCCATAGAACTGAAATGGAATTTGGATGCAGCTATTCTTTCACTGAGCCATTAGACAGTGTTTAAAAACTGGTATTTCAGGCAATACTCTACACAGATTTGTTATTTCAACTTCTGTGTCTGATCCCTCAGAAAGAGGCAGACTTTTACCTCCATGTGGAGTCAATGGCTGTTTTTTAAGGGTCATCTGCAGGGGATTGTTTCAAAACACCAATTTCATGCTCACGTTCATATCAGTTCTTGAACCGATGTTCACGTTCATATCAATTTTATACAGTATGGCTTTTCTTTGCTCTGCTGGACTGTTCAACAAACTACCTTTCTTTGGTTTTTAACTTAATATTCGGGTCTTTCAGTTTTACTCCTCTGCACACCTGGATTTGAGTCATGGGCTGAGAAGAAATGAGACAATATTTTATTGTAGCAGCATCCAGAAAGAGTTCTCCCGCTGCCCAGCCATTCCTGTTGTTTCTGTGCAGAGGATACTAATTATCCAGTATGTGAAATTACAATGGCAGAAAATAGTGAACATCTCAAACAGAGAAGTAATTACAATGTTAGACAAATTATATGGTTCCGTTTGTTTTCAAAAAAATGTTATGAAAAGTTTTTCCTTTTTTTTTTTTTTCCTATTTCTTTCCTTTTCTCCTAAAAGCTCTGTGCTCACCTCTGTTTCAATGCACTGGGAACAACAAGCTTGGAATGCTCAGATCCCCATGGATCACAGTCCTGTTGATATTAAGTACAGATCACTCTGGAACATATCTAGCCAGGAGCAAGAGGAGCTGTGCTGAGGGACAGGTGTCCATATGGATCTCTCAGCTCTTTATGCTTATGCAGGGCATTTCCCTGCAGATTTTCCAGCTGCTTTTTATCCTTTCCCCTTTAGATGAGAACTTACTTTTGTCTTCCTCTGCTGGCCCTCTCCCTGAGGTGTTGCAGCAGAGGGAGGTGATTTGTCCACAGGTTATTAGAGCAGACACCACATACACTAGGAATTCCCAGTGCATAAATAATGTCCTTGCTAATTAATTTATTTTTGTTTGAGCTTCTCGTCCCGTCCTGTTACTGGCACTTGTGATTATTAGAACAGAAAGCCCAAGTCCTTTCCCAGTCCTTTGTCAGATGGCTGCCTCTTGTGTTAACTAGTGGGCTGCTCTGTACAACATCCTTGGAATGAAAATTAGCTGCTCTGCAAAAAGGCAACAGCAGGGGAAGAATAGAAATTATGGAGTTTGAAACCATAAAAATAAAAAATAAAAAGCTATTGCTGTCATGGCAAACCTGGATATTAACAAGGAAGTCATACAAAACACCAAACAAAGGTGTCCCCTTGTCCTTGGCCAGCCCCTTCCCAGCCAGGTCTGAGCAGTCAGGAGACAAGACCCTCACTCTGAGATGGGATATAGAAACAGGACACTAAGGAATGGTGATGCTTGTCTGACCAGTGCTATCACTGCTAGCCACTGCCACTGTATGGATTTCCAGTGGCTACAAGAAATGCAACTAGACCTGGTCTGGCAGGTGTTCCAAGCACTGTAGCAGAGTCTTGTCCAGGTGAAAAAGACAAAAATAAATGTTTATCAAAGAGTTTTGATTGCTAGAGAATTGTCCCCCCAGCTCCTAATGGAAAGTTACATTTTGCAGAACAATCTGTAGATTCTATCTCACGGCTGTCACAGTGAAATTACCTTCAGCAAAGTGAGCCAGGAGTCTGGTAGGAGTCACAGAATGTGCAAATGTCCTGAATCCGAGTGCCTCAGTGGTGCAGTTGTATCTCACCTTCATTAAAAAAATGCAGTGAGGAAAGATTTCACATCATTCTCTAAGATAAGAAGAAAACCACCTCAATTCTGAACTGTCACATTCTTATTCTACCCAAAGGTAATTTATTTCCTATGCATAAGTAGAGCTGCTATTTCCTTTTGTGCATCCTCAGAAGTATGCATTTTGTTTCCTACTCAACAGAGACTGAGTGAAAGCAGATATATAAACTACCTCTACCTCTGTAAAGTAACTATGCAGAGTGCCTGACTTACAGTTCAGAAGCCTGAGAAAAAATGCTCTTTGTTTTATATTTGGGGTTTGGGTTGGGTTTTGTCTGCTTGTTTGTTTTTTCTGAACTGTGTGTATCTTGAGAGGTATGGAAATAACCAACAAAAATAAAGAGACAAGCAACAATAGCCATCACAGGGAAGTTCAGAAATAAGTAACTGATGAAAAAGTTTAGCAAACAGCCTGGAGAAAACACAAGGAAGTGGTCAGTGTTTTTTCCTTTTCATTTTCTTTGAGTGATAAGTAGAATGATGAAAAAATATGTGACTTGGGAGGTTTTTTTCCCAGGGGCTGGACACATGCAAGAAGCAAAAATGGCCTAAAATAAGGGTGAAAATGTAGACTGTCTAGTGGAAAGCATTTTGTAACAGTGAAAACTGTTAGGGAATTTAAAAAAACACTAGCTACTGAATGTAAAAATACACAGAAACTAAAATTCCATTAAAAGCCCAGAGGAATGTTTATTCAGAAGCCTCAAATCTTGGCTTTAGGAAGAAAAAGCAGATTACTTTTTTTCCCCACTTATCTAGCAATACATGGGTTAAACTGGCATTCACTGTATCATGTACTCTAAAAGACTTTCCCAAGTGGGAAAGGTACATACACATACATACAATATATGTTCCTGAAAAGTCCAGATTTGGAGGAGGACACTTTTACTTGAAGGTCAGATGTGAAAGACCAATTCTCCTCCTTGGTTTAAGACCAAAACTGCAACATTTAAAGTTGTTTTAGTAAGCTGTGAAGACAGAGAGAAGGCTGTGGACTATGGTAATGGCTGAAGTTGCTGTACCTTAATGAAGAGCTGTCAGTACCAGGTTATTACTCAATTTTTTGCTGCTTTGGGCAGAATATTCAAAAGATAGACAAGTTCTGACAGGCAGTAATCCTGTTCTTATACCCCAAATATTTAGATGCTTCAGGACATTTATCACAGCTGCCAAAACTGGATTCACAATCTGTGGGTTTCAAAAAGAGAGCGAGATTTTGCCTGTTCTTGCTTGGGAAAAAGGAAAAATATTCTCATTCCTTCTTCCCTTTCTTTGCCTACATCTTTTTCACCTACATCTGGCTGGACTCAGCTCAGTGATAAAACATCCACAGGAGCAGCCAGGGCTCCTTGTGGCTCTCTCCTAGTGAGGGATCTGTGCTGGAGACACACCTCCTGTAAAATGCACACGGCAGCTGAACTTTCCTATCAGCCACCATGCTCAGCCAGTCCACGCTAGGAAATTACAGAGTGACTGGGGGAGAAGGGGAGAGGTGACACTGCTTTATTTAATTATCCTCCTTCAGCCTGATTCTTGCAGTGTTATCTCAAAAGTGAAAAGATTTGGGAAATAGATTTCTGGTAATTAGCGTTCAGAATATTGTGATGGCAGCACCCAGCATCTTTCACTGAGGATTTACTCACTCTGGGATGAAACAGGCAGGTTCTCACATCCTGTGGTCTCCTCAGACGTGCTGGAAGACAGGAGCTCTGGGCTCAGCATCCTGTGGCTGGCAGCAAAGAGGGGACTCTGTTTTTGGGGTGGGGAAAATCCATCTCCTCCTTCAGGACGAAGCCCACTCTGCACCAGAGTGTTTGCAGGCACTGCTGTCACCACATCCTGATGCCAGATGAAGCTCTGCTGTCATTTACTGAGGCTGGAGTCCAGCACACATAATAGAAAGGAGCTTTAAGCAAGAAGTCAAGAATGGAGTGTGAGTGTCAGATATTGATGATGCAGTGTGTCCAGCCTGCAGCTGCACTACAGGGGGAAACTAAAACCAAGTATCACAAAAGCAATAGGCATCACAGATTGCCTTTCACAGTGGGTGGTGAGCAGCACTCTCACCTGGACAAAAGATATATTTAGATAATAGTTCACAAAGAATTAGACTGTACGAACTCTCTTGAGGGACTGTGCATGTAACACAGTTAATGGTAAAATATCAGCAAAAGCTGCAACGACCTCAGGCAGCACACACAGTCTGAGACAGAGCAGAGCAAACCACTTGGATCCCCAAAATGACTGCTCACACGAGACCTCGGTTTGTACCCATTTCAGGGCATGTTTTGGAGTATATGTTGGCACAAGCGAGCATATGCATCAAAACCAAGGAGTTTGCCAAAGAGAAACAAGGGGAACTTGCTGCCCACCAGCTGTGATCCTGGCCAGCAGCTTGGGCAATGCCACACAAACACCTGTTTTCATTTGCTGAGTGGTGCTGTGACACCGGGGTGAGCGGTGACATGAGGCTTTTCACACGGCCGTGATCTGCTTTCAAAGCTCTGTAAACAGCTCTTAGCTGAAAATATCGTGTAACTTTTTTTTTTTTTTTTTCCCCTTTGTTGCACTCGGTTCATCCTGAGAGGAAGAAGAGCCCTTGTGCTCATCGGGGCTTGGGAGCAGCAGCTCCCTTGAACACAAGAGGCATTCAACCTGAGGCTGAGCAGGTTCAGGCACTGAGCCACAAAGCTTAAAGTGTGCAGGCTTGCCTTGCATAAAGAGGGGATGATGAGTTGTGAGCAGGGGGAGATAGCTGCTAGTTGGAAATAAGAGAAAATACATTCACAGAAATTCAATTTAAGCGTAAAAAAAAATAAAAAGACCAACCTAGTTAATTTCATAAAGATTCATGAGTCAAAATGTAAGACCTTTAGTTAGGAAATAATTGCACACTTATGACCTGAGGCAACAGTCAGAACTTGCTGGGAAAAAAAAAAAGCACATGTCATTAAATTTAATAATGCTTAATTATAGAATCATAAATATTTGAAATTGGAAAGGCCCAGCAAGTCACTTAAGTCCCCCTCCTTATCAATGCAAGACTGTTCCCTATTGCATATATGCTGGTATGTTTTCTGCAGACTATTAGAACTCATTGTCAGGAGGATTTGCCTTAAATTCCTCAATTCTCTATTTCTTAATTTCACCCCATTAGTCCCTGATACACCTGCTTGTTTCCTGATAAGTAATTCCTTTCCTTCTCTAGTGTGTGTGTCAGTCAAATATTTGTAGATGGTTGGAATGCCCCTCCTTAGTTATCACTTAGCCAAACTAGACATATTTATTTAGTTCTTTTAATCTTCCTCACAGGTAAATCCCTCTAGTCCCTTAATTATTTTGTTGCTCTTTTCTGAACTCTCTCTTTCCAAACCTTGCTTGTAGTCATATTAAATGCAGTATCCTCGTTCTTGTCATCCAGAGCCATGGAAAAATCAGGGGTGCTGTTGCATCTCTGCTGCAATGTGATATGTCTTTGTGTCTGACCCACTACAATATTTTTTTTCCCCTGATCTATCATGCTGAGCACCATGCAAGGCTGGAGAGAGGTCAAGACAACTTCTGTTTTTAAAATTCTGCCCTGCAGCTATTCCTTACGGTGCTGTCAGCAGGGAAGTCATTTCGTCTTCTAAAACCTTACTTCTGATATTTTTTTCCATCTGAAGATGTTGTAACTTGAGCCTTCTTCTGCATTGGGCAATAACTTCACTTCTCTCTGTGCTTCCTTACAGTTCTCTGCCCTGTGTGTTTCAGAGGAGATCAGTAAGAATGGCAGAACAGACAGAGCAAGAACAAAAAAAACCCAAAATGTAGCTTACTGCACAAGAAGCTTTGTCTCCTGGGTTTATCATCCCACAGATTAGTAGCCCAGGAT